TGACATAATTTTTTGTTCGCGAAAAGTTTTTATGGCTGAATTGGTTTGATCCTCTCCTTATCTTTCTGTCATCAACTGTAGACGTTTGGGTGAAACGATCAATAGTGGGGTAAATCAACATTCTCGAAATATTAAGTTTTTTGAGAAGCTTATAAATCTCACTTGCGCTTTTCCACACTTATGTAAAACACTCACCGGATTGAGATTATCTTTAGCTCCACTCTATTGTTAATAAACGAACAAAACAAACACTGACCTGAACTGACTATTAATATATTTAAAAATAACGGCACTTTTCATCTGCGATTTTGTGCTCGCCGCATAAACTTTGTTACAGATTTTATTGCAAGACTCCATTTTTCGATTACTTTGATGTTTGAATAACCCTAGAAACTATCGAGCTAGTGAAATACACTCAATCGGAATATTTAAGAATCTGTTTGGGCGAAATAGTACTGAGATCCCATTTGCAATCAAAAATCGAAAAATTTTATTCATCGGGTCTCGCCAAAAGACTTAAATTTAATTTTACGTGATCATGTTGATTTGAAAAAATTTATATATATATTCTTTTGTAGCCAATGCTTAATCTTTATGCCAGAAAAATACTAATCCAACTTACTAATCATCTCCTCAATATTAATATTGGTTGAACAATCATTAGGTGAACAAAACTATTAAAGACAGCTAAATAACACTGTAATTTATGAAATAATATTTTCCGTTATAGCTGGTTTGTTGGAATTGAATATCGTAGCATTAAGTAAATTTTTAAAATTATCCTTTAAAGGAGTGAAAAAATGTTCTACTGATTTCTACTAATGGCAAAACTTAAAACAAGAAGAAAAAAAGCACAAAAGGGTATACAAATCTTTATCTGTACTGTATGCTACAATATGCTTGTATTGTTGTCCGATCTGAACAGCTATACGCTATAGTGATCTAAACAATTTCTTCGGAGATTGCATTATTTTCAAAGACACTAAATAATTAAATCCTAAATTTTAGGAAGATACTCTGTCAAAAAATCGTTTTCCAATCGTTCTGTTTGTATGATAGATATATGGTATAATCTGCGCCAGATTTCGTGAAGATACCTCGTCAAATGAAAAAGTTTTCCATGCAAGCACTTGATTCCGATCGTTCAGTTTGTATTGTTACAATTCTTCAGAGCAAGTTTACAAATTTCCCACCGGCGATAAGACAGTTGAAAATTTATAGAGTTCATCCAAATGTAGGCGGCATATACCACGAATTCGAGAAAAACTTTGTCATATATTAGTTAGTAATAGTGCAGGGCGTATTAACACAGTTCCAACACAAAATTGTAAATAGTATGATTGTGCCACGTGTAGATTTTGTAGATTGACTGACAATTTCAAATAAAATATAATAATTTATTTCTTTTTATATAAATAATAGATGAACATTTTTTCAAGCTCAGGCGTTTTTTCAAGTGAGGGTTCCAGGAAATCCAAAGGTTTCACAAATGTATTTATCATAATGCTGTTATTAATTGTAGTTAAATTTGAAGGAGATTTAAAGTAAACATTGGAGCAACATCGACTTAAAAAGTCATTGACTTAAGTAAATATTTTGGTTCAGTTGCTTTATAAATCTGTAATTCGTTATAAAAAAATAATCTGAGATTGAAAGATTTGAGTATAATTAAACGAGTATCGGTTAATTGATTCTCCGGTTAATTGAACCAAAAATGTGCAATTTTTTAAGTAAAATTATCCGGGGGATACTTTATATAATACATACTATATAAACGATGTCAAATTATACACAAATGTATATATGTATATATATGTAGAATATGTACATATATATGTAAGTATTACTGCGCATTTTGAATATCTGGCAGTGCTGAAAAATACGAATTGTATATGAATAATACATATATGTTGTTCCGAATTGTTATTGCATTTTGAAGTTTAAAAATTTTTGTTTTAAGTTTAGACTAATAATTATTAATAAAAATCATTTTGCCGAAAAAATCGCAAACAAATATTTATTTTGACGTGTACTATACATGAGTTTCGTATCAGGAGGGTATTGCTCTCGGTCGACGAGTGAGGAGAGCAATATACAGAAACATAATCGATGGAGAGGTATGTTTTATGAGCAAGTGAATGTATTAATAATCCATCCAATATTTTTCGAACTGTTATTTCGCGAAAAAGTGGAAGGATTCGAATCACTAAAGTTCGCGGGCATTAATGGAAATAAATAAATGAAACTAGACAAAAGTTAAAAATGTGTTGTTACAAAACAATACACATATTTACCAAATGGTTTGATTAAATTGTCGGTCGTCATGGTGTGGTGATTAGAGGAACGTACTCTGCTTAAACAGTACATCCACGTACTCAATTTAAGTTTCAATATTGATTGGTCGAAACCCAAAAACTTTTCCGAACCGGTATAAAATTAAGGTATACAAATATACACAAAATCTTAAGGCCTACATCTAGCGTATAGAGCACTGTTTTCCGCGATGGTCAATATGGGTTATGAACAATTCATTTGCATGCAATATATTATATAACTCACGAATTAACAAATTACCTACCTCTTTGGGTAACAATAGATATTTTCAACTGCAATTAAAAAACCTTAACGAAAACAAACGAATCTGTTTTAAATTATATAATACATTTGTATAAAATACACTGCTACAATAACCACACTTGTATAAATATAAACTGAACGAAGTCCTTTAAACATAAGCAAATTTCTGAGATGACCCCAACCAACCAATTTGAACCAACTTCGTCATCAAACATATGATTTCAAAGTTGTTTTTTTCTCTATGAACGTTGTGCATAGCTTATAATAATTTCATTTTACATACTTTCCTGGCATCGTCCAGTACGTTGAACCATGAAAGTTAAAAGTCAATGCGAATAATGTCTAGGTAAAGATCTTACCAATTGCTTTTGTGGCATTCCCATTACCTTAAGAACAATGAAATATAAAATTGTCCCAAAACGATTACAAGCATTTCTTTCCAGAGAGATGTAGTACATCTACTGAATAAGGTATATTAAGTTTACACAATGTTTGTAACACGCAAAAGGAAACGTCGAAGACCCTCTAAAATACCATATATGTACATACGATTAAGCCATGTCCGTCTGTCTGTCTGTCTGTATATACTAGTCCTCAGTTTTTGAAATATCGATATGAAATTTTGGTAACCGCCGATATCGGACCACTAAAGCTTATAGCTGCCTTACAAATTGGCCAATCCAAACCTAAATCGACCCAAAGTTATGTAAGGATCTTTTCAAGTTATTAAGCAAAAGATAAGTCGCAAGGAGCCAAATCTAGTTCGACCAATTTAACAATGGCAGTTTTGAAGCCATGCGTTGTCATGGTGGAAACCTATTTAATTTTGCCAAATGTAGCCGTTTTTTCTTCAAATGGGTTGGAATCAACCCAGTATTTCGATATAATAGAGCCCTGTGAATGCTTTGCCCTTCTCATGTAGTCTATGTCCATCACCCCTTATGAACCCCAAAAAACGGTGGTCACCCGCTTTTTGGAGTTATTGCTGTTAAAATGAAACATTGATATGATGCTTCAATAGGGTAATAACTTAAAACTATTAAATAAATTAAGTGTTTATCTGAACAATATATAATATAAAGCTTCTGCTTTTTATGCTTTTATTGCTACAGAGTATAATAGTTTTGGACTTTTCTAAATTTTTGAATCGTTATATCTCCGAAACAGTGGCTCGTAGGAAAAAAAAAAGGATTAATACATTTCTTATAGATAATTTTATAATCTATATTTTGATCTATATTATTATGATAAAACTTACCGTTTGGCTGAAAATCGCAAAAAAAAATCATATTTTTGTCCTTGAATAGAATTTTTCCATTAAGGGGAAAAATGGGGAGCTTTGAAATTTTATTTATAATTATATATTAATCGATCTCACCAATTTTCAGCTTGTTGTGAGCTTATGTGACTTCACTTTAATTTTTTGGTCTAATTTTTTGGCGAAAACATAAGAATAAAGCACAAAATGCCTAATTATTGATTTTATGGAAAAAATCCAGCAATAAAAATTTGCACGAATATTGCCTTTATGGTATGCCATCTCAGCTCAAAATATTGTCAAAATTAGATCATAACTATTCATACCCACATATACCGGAAATGTGAACCACATAACCTATGGCTTACTTTTTGTCGAAAATGTCGGTCAATATGTGAGATATACCATATACCTATTATAAAGATTTTCGAACTTCCAGTTGACGATATACCACATATTACGGCCAATGTGCCTTAGCCCCCATATAATTGATATTCACAATTTTTAAACGTTCGGCGGACTTTTCTTCAGAATATGTTTATATTTATATAGTTACAACATTGCTTGAAAATAAGTTCTCAAGTATACCTGAGTAATGTCAAAATTAATGCAATCAGCCCTTCCATTTATATGTCCCCAAATGATTTTAGTATAATTTTCGCTGACGAGAAAGTAAAACATTGTAATAATTGTTGTTTTGCCAACACCTGAAGGTATTTCCCCGGCTTTGATCCTTGCAAGTTGCAAGAGTCCTTCCTCACTTATTTAGTCATACATTTATTTTATTCGATTTTTAACTCATATTTTGGAAACAAAATAAAACAAAAATTTATTATTTATAAATTTTATCAGTTGTGTCCTAAAAAAGACGAAATATGATATTTATTTTAGTCAAAAAATATATATCAAATTTAAGCTCTTTTTTTATAAAATAATAAATTTTGAAACTCAACTGTGAAATATATGATTTAAAATAAACTATAAAATTACAAAAACTTAAAAATTGAACGAAATTTAAATCATATAGAATAAACGTCTTTTTGAACACAAGCATTATATTGATTTATACAAAGAATAAAAATCTTTCCCACTGACTTTCTGAGTTATAAATTACATAGCCACTATTACATACTTGTATAATCCATATTTACTGAAACCGCCCTTATACAATAAATTTGACATTCTTTAATTTAAGCCACATACTTATGTACACATATTGAAATTAATATTTAAATTTAGTCATTTTATCACAAATTTTTTTTATTGATAGATGTGGAGTCTTTAAAGTTCATCACGATGGTTGAGACTGTAAAGAATTTTGACCACCTTTTCAATTTGTTGTGCTACTTCCACATGGAACTCATTGTTAGTGCGCATATAACGATTTTTTATGGTTAATAAAGTATGCCTTAGTTCTGCGCTTTTTGACCAAACAGATTCACAAATTTCTGCCGCATTTTCCAATCCTATTGCAAAATACTCGGTCAAATCTGGTTGCTCCAATAGTTCATAAAGTTGTGTAGAAACTAAACTATCGACTGTTTCGCAAAAGCCACTCAAATGCAGCCATTCTTGTAGATTTAATTCCGCATACTGTGCAGCAGCTGATGGGCTATCAGAGTAAGCATAATTCGAAATAACAAGTTTTTTTTCAACAATTATATCGCTTATAAGTGTTATAGATTTTGCCTTTACTTTAAGTTCACATTTTTTTGCAAGCACAGCTACCAACGCTTGTGTTCCAGATGTTGAGAGTATTCTTTGTAATGCCAAAGGAAATTTTCTTAGAAGGCTGCCGAAAGCGTATAATGCAGATGATAACTCTTCTGAGTGTTCCGACGAAATAAGAATTTGAGCCAAATATCCTCCTATATTTTTTTCAAAAACCTTTATTTGGGCTAGAGGATTATTAAGCGTTAGAGCTCCTAACAAACGGACAGCTTTCGTTCGTAAATTTATATTTGTTTCGTTTACTACTAGTGGTAGAAGAATTTCATCTAAGCCTCCTTTACCAATAAACCACAATGCATTGTCAATTTGGTGAACAAGATAATCCAAATCTTCAAGTATTCGTAGTTGTGTATTTATTTTCGTTTTCAACGTTATCGGCTGTTCCTCATTTTCTTTGCTAAGATTTTTATACTCATCAATTAGTTTAGTAATCAGTTCACCATCTGAACGAAATTCTTTTTGCAAGTTTTTATAAGATTCCTTTAATTCACTATATGTTTTAAAATCTCGTTTTATTTGCTCTAATTTCTCTGGTGAATACTCAATACCCAAACTGTCTTTGGGAAGACTTTTTAAAGCTTCAGAAAGTGTTTTACTGATTTTTACTTTATTTTTCGTGGAGGATTCTTTCCAACTAGCTTCGTAAATATTTTCTTCTACATTTACTAATGCTCCTTTAATTTTGTTATTCTCGTTTACTTCTTGATTATTTAATAGTTTTGCTTCCTTCTTACCAGTTTGTAAATTACCACGTACATGTACACCTGACGGAAGGATTTGACCTACCAAATAAGATAAATTACAGATATTGTTTACCAATTAATAAACGTGAGTACTAACCTTCTTCTATTTGTTGCCATTCTGTTGTTAGTACGAAGGTTTTGTTTTTATCATTGGCAGCTGAGATTGCAAACTTAATAACTAATAATAATATCACCGAAAATATTAATTTCATTTTTTTTAATTAAATAAGTTCAATAATAAATTTATAATTTAAGAAACGCGAAACTCAATTTCAATTAAGTTTTATACATTTGTTTACAGCAATGTGTTCTTGGTCAGTTGTACTTAAACGTGTTACCAGACTTCTCGCAGAATTCCCAACCCTGTTTTCAGAGACATTTCGGAAATTAATAACATACAACGAAAATACCAAAATAACTGTTATCTGATATGCTTAATACATAGATTGAGGCTTTAATTGTAAATACTCCACAACTCAACTATGGGTTAAATCATATATAAATCAATGTTCAAATACCAAGAACACATCTCTAGTTAAAGTTTGTATGAGTTTCTTTAGGCACAAGTGACAAATCTAACCGAAACTCTTGTGTGTGTGTGATAATTTATCCCTTTTTTGTTTCTAATACATTTCAGCAGTTGGTAATTTGGATATTGATCATAGGGACATCACCGTTTAAGCAACTTATACAGTTTCCATGTAAATGGTTTACGCGATATTTTCGGTAGTGCGAACAGATTGTAACGGTTTTCTCGATAAATCGTCTACCTTGTAACTCTCACTTGAATTCGATCGCTGGATTGTTAAAAAGTCCCAATTTAATGGCTATACACTTATCTTTATTTCTAATTCGGACAACTTAACATTTATTACTCGTTATTCGGGTTTACAACTTATTACATATAGCCAAATTGCTCTTTATATGGCAATCTGATGCACAGTCCGGCAGCCCTTATATAGTAGATTGTTAACAGAACTTCGTTACTCGAAGAGGGTGGCAACTACAAATTCGCTAACTAGTTGTTTCTGAAAATTTATCGTTGATTCGTTCTATCATCCGTGTTCGTCACAATATAAACTCGTCGGGAGCAGGAAAGCCGAAGAGCCGTCTTGTATATAGAACATTGTATAAGCCTACTATATATATGTATAATAATACTATGTAAATTTAATCTTTAGGAATTAAAACAACCCAAAAATATTTGAATATGGAATAAAAACATTCTTAAAGTTATAAATTTTAAAACATAACACGGCAACACACTATAGCTGATTTCTGTCATTTGAACGTTTTAGTAGTAGAATATTGGTTGGCAACCCGTACAAAGTGTGACTTTAGTAGCAGAATGTTGGTTGGCAACCCGTACCAAGTGTGATATTAGTAGTAAAATTTTCGAGGCAATCCGTTCCAAGTGGGATATTTTTGCGTGTGTTTAGTGAAAATCCTAGGATTGGTTACTTGTAGATTTATAAAATGATATAGAACGATGCAATCGAGGATGACGCTGAACCGGTCCGAGACAATTTACCGCCCTAAGTAAATACCAAATTCTTGACAGTTATTCAGGTTATTTTATTAAAAAAAACACTCATATACCAAACGTTTAACATTATTGTTTGAAAAAGATTATAATTAGTAATACAATAAAATATTAATTCTTTAAATATTTTCGTGCTTTTAATTTGGGAAAAATCAGGCACAATTGTTTAATTGTTAACACGCTTTTATAAGCTTGGATTAATAAATTCATTTATAGATCCTAAGTAAAGGAGTAAGAGACTTACCGCTAGCGCGCGATCTGCGCATGACTGCAGTTTCGGAATTTTTCTTTTGTTTGGGAACTCGGCACAGCACAACGGAGAACTGCAGGGAATTGAAGTCAAGTTGTCGAGCACAAAGTCGTATGAAAGTCGGCGGTGAATTTCTTAACATTTGAAGACCACCTTACTGCAAAACGTTTTTTGGAAATTCTTGTTGGTTAATTGTACGCAACATTTGACCACAAGTGTTGTTGACAATTTCTATGCAATTTCCGATGGTAGATTTTTAGCAACTTGCAGGCAATTTTGGCTATTAATATATTTATTTTACGGAACAAAATTCGGTAGCAGTAAATCTTTGAAATTACAGTCGGTAAAAAGGAATTTAATACGATCAATAAATTTGTAATCATAAAGTCTAATAGACTTAAATACAAAAAAAGAATATGAATTGAAAATACCATTCTAGTTAACAAGAGTTACGATACAGATTATAGCTGTGCCAGAGAACTTAAAACAATTGTTTTAAGTTCTCTGTTTCGAGCGCTTAATTTTCCTTAATTTTAAACCACCCAATCCAACATAAGGTGAGAAACGTGAAGAAGTATGAATGGCACAGGGTGTTTAAAAATGTCGCTAGCGTCAAATTCAGGACACCATCCTGTACCCTGTCGAATAAAAGCCCTATCTTCCTATCGGATCTCTGGGAGGTTTACCCGTTTAATTGTCCATTACTCGTGGGAATAAACTACAACTCAAAGAAACAGGAAATTAACGAAAAAGAGACAAAAACTGAAAGGAAAACTTTCAGGATTGTCGACTGAAGGAATGGTCGAGAGAAAAAATTAATGGCGACTATATATGAAACAATGTATACAATTCACAGTCAGAAGAAGACAAAGCGGCTCGGTTTCAGCACATGCGGCCACATATTGCTGAATATCGAGCCTTACAGACAGGAGAGGACAGAGTAGTTCTCTTGCAGCAGATGCGGCAACGAAACTCAGAGTCGAGAGGACTAGGTAGAGCCAATACATCAGGCTTTATGGGGTCAATTAACACGTTTTATGATAAGATCTGTGAAATTTGCGCTAAATTTGCGACATTTGGTGCTGTCAGAATCTGATCTCTAAATGGATTGTAGACATTAAGTCAGTCCCATTTTTTCCTAGCGAAATAAAACAAAGAAATTCCTTGATCGTTTGTAAACGGTGCAAGTCTCATTTGAGTTCAAAGAAAAAATTTGCACCGTCTCAATCTTATTAGTACAATTTGGACCTAGGTTCTATTCCAAAATTAATTGCGGAATTATCACAAGCAGAACAACGACCAATTTTACTTATTCCATTTGTAAAAATTATTAAATTAAGTGGAGTATTTGGGCAACACAGTTTCTGTGGCCAAACGGTATTGTTCGCATAAGATGTTTTTGAAGTTACTGAAAATCTTCCTAATATGTTACCAAGAACTGCAAATAATGCTGGAACAGTCGTCATTACTGAACGTTTAGAGAACATTAATGTAACACAACAGTTTTCAGTATCAAAGCAAAAAGTACATGATGCACTCTATTGGCTAATTTCGAACAATCCACTTATCAAGGATGTCACTATCGATCAGAACGTTGTAATTGAAGACAATTATATTATAAGAGTTGAAGAAGCACCACTCGAGATAGCTGAAGAGACTAGTGAAGAATCTACTAGAAATTCTAGTGCTTACATGGAAATCGCTGCTTCCTCAAGAATGCGTGTTTGTGCTTTATTGCATCAAGGAAACGATATTATACGAGTATTCACATCAGGATTCGCAGGAGTACAATGTTGTGCGATGGCATTAGCAAATATTCTCCGGGCTTACATTCTTTCACCACAATATTGGTCTACGAACATCCCAAATCTCAATATGATAACAGGTGACCAAATCTAACTCAATAGCTTATTTGAAATGTTCTGCAGCCTATTGGAGATTAGCCTTAAATGAGCTATTAGCTCAAATCAGATGTATACGAGCTTCAACCTATTTTGTTATTTTTAGTTCGAATGATCTCCACTGGTTAGATCAGCAAAAAGCTTTGTTAATAGTCGATGATAAAAATGACGTTAATCAAAGTACACTTGACATTTATGAGACTCAACGATTCATCAAAAATTAGACAGTGATCCCAGAGATAAAATTTAATGTCTCTGGCGTGTTTAGTGCTTGATTCTTGATTTAGTCTACATCTTATTGTGGAGCTTAGTTATGGCAATTTATTTGTTTTTGATTAAAGGCGTTTTATGGGCGTGGCAGTGGTCCAATCTATCCCCATCTGCAATACCAACCGTCTTACGGTACCAAGAAACATGTGTACCAAGTTTCATAAAGATATTTCAATTCATCCTGATCACTTAAATAAAATAATAACATCTATAAAAAATGTAAGCCCCCTTTTTGAATGGAAAGAGGCTCTTGTTTTTGTAAATTTGTTATGCCTCCATCGAAAGACATAATGATAATCGAATTGTTCTCGACTAATTTTAGAAATACATCTTCTATATATGCGATATAAACTTAATCAAAGGAACTATATTTAATAGAAGGGGTATATAGCGGAAAAATCAATCACCGGACCAAACATTTATATTAAGGATAATGAGCAAGCTAAGGTCTAGGCTGATCTGTTTCATATTCAGCGCTATAACTCATTGCATTTACTTTTAGAATTAAACTAAAGTATGCTTGAGAAAATATTAACACATAATTCATCATAGGTATAACTCGCATATTGACCTACTTATATACTGCATAAAGTCGATTATAATAACAAAACCAATTATATTAGGTACGGCTAGAGCAAATCATGGACCGTTTTTACCCATGTTCCACACCAAAATATGTCAAAAGAAAATATGTATTTATTTTAATATATTTCAGATATTATCGGAAGAAGACTTGATATAATAATTTTTGGGGCAACTGGATGTGCTGGACGTTTTACAGTTCTGGAAGCAGTGAAAGTTTTAAGATCCCATTCATGGGGCATTGCGGGCAGAAATAAAGTAAGTCTCTATTCCTTGATATTTAGTAATTAAAACTTTAGTAATACGTGCATACATACTTTAATAGCAAAAAATGGAACTACTGTTACAAGAAATTGGTATTCGGAGCAGAAAAAATTTAAGCAGTATTCCTATCATTACATCAAACTTAAAACATAAAAGATCGCTTTATAGTTTGGCAAGAAAGTGCAGAGTAAGTACTATGTATAATTGTATATCAAATATTTGTTCATGAACGGAGCAAGGCTCACTAGCCTTTCACTTCGTTTGTCGTTTCTACTTGTTCTGCCTTTGCGACATAACGATGCGAAATGCCCCATTTCGTCGCATTTAAAACATTTTCAATTGGATCGATCTTTTGCTCCGAACGTACTACTTTCCTTCTAACCCTTTCCTTTGATTTTCTAACAAACCCTGATTTCGGCATATTTATGACTAGTTTTTTCACAATAATTACATTTCACGCCTAATGGAAGCTTTGATTTCTTGCGCTCAAAACCTGGTGTATACGGATTCTCATCTGCATTGCGTCTCTTAAAAGTGTGTGCCTGTAATTGTTATTGTAGCTTATTCCGAGTTTTCAAATTTGTAGTAAATACCCAATTCGACAAGCTTATTGTCGATTCGCGTTATGTTAGTCAACGTTATAGATATCGCGGTTTCCTCTAAACTTTCGCCACGGTGACGCACTGCCTTTTAATGCCTTGCTGAACATTATCCCCACGCAACTTAAGTCGAGAACGTTGTGTTCCAATATGAGGTCAACAGTGCTACACCAAGTTGAAGCGTATGCTTCCCCAATATCAAGATAAAATTTTGGTAATGCTACATCCCTAAAGAAATTAATATGAAACAGCGGTCCGAACAGTCGCCACACGTCCGAACTGTTACAGAAATTCATGTGAAACTACACCATATACAGAGGCTGACAGATATGCGTAAGAAAGGGAGGAACGATCTCACGTACACAAGAGTTTCGATTAAAATTGTGAATTAGCCTTTAATAGTTATAAGGCCTTGGATAATTAACAGGTGATTTGACCGGTAATTGACTTGCAGCCTCTAGAGTAAAACTAAAGCGAGTTATTTTTAGTGTAAATTTTGATGTCATTAACTTTAATGTTAAGGTCCAATTCGTACTTCTGTAAAAGTTATCAAACAAATTTGGGGTTTCATAATTTTTAAGCCATTCCTTTTTTCGTTTATAAAATATGTTACCTTAATATTTTATTTTGTAATAGATTCTCATCAATTGCTGTGGACCCTATGAAGCATATGGTCAAAACGTTATCAAAGCCTGTATATTGGCTAAAACGCATTATGTTGATCTCTGTACTGAATCTCATTTCATGGATACAATACACTACAAATTTGACGAACTAGCTAAAAGGAAAGGGGTATATGTTGTGATGGGTTGCGGATTACAAAGTTTACCAGCAGAAATTGGAGTCAATTTCATGAAAAATCATTTTAAGGGTGAGCTAAAGCAACCAAATTCTTTATTTACTATATACTTATGGTTATGCATACATAATTATGTACAATATACTTGTATATAAATTTCTTATGTGGCATACTTTTTTGAAATAAACAGGCAAAAAAAAAAAACAAGTAAGGCAGATCTAAGTTCGGGTTAAACCGAATATTTTATACTCTTGAAACTTGCAAGGCTCAAAACCGAACCAAAACCATCAGGCGTTGGCACAACTTTATATTAAAATAGGGATAATCAAGGAGAGCTACTGAGGGATCTGGAGAAGCAGAGAGAAACCGTTGGAGAATTTGAGAGATACAGAGTCAAACTGGGAGAGCCACTAAGAACCGATGAGAACAAGTAAGAACCGGGGAGTATCATTGAGAACCCGGAAGAAACCCAAGGACCAACTAAGAACCACATAGTAAAAGGGAGAACCAGATATATCCACTGAGAACCAGGGAGAAATCGGAGGAACAACTTGGTCGTAAAGCGAAAAGCCGTATAAGGTATCAATTATTTTAATATAAATTCATATCAAATTGTAAAATATATAACATGGTTTATCGTTCATTTTTATCTTGTTATTTCATTTAAATAAAAAATACATGTGTTCATATCGATTCCAAAATCCAACAATAAACTATAAACAAAAGTGAAACCAAAAAAAATATCGCACATGGCTGTGCCGATAAGAAAATGTGCCCTGCGCGTCTTATGAATACGAATTTTTTATTTGCTGTCATATATTCCTTTTTATAGTAAAATAAATAAAAAGGAATAAAAAAACACGAATAGCCTGTTCATTGAAAGGATAAAATAATTCTCAAAATATTTGGTTCGATAAAATTTGTTTGGCCGTTATAGCGGAACATTTTATACCGTATATCGAAAATGTGCCTTAATTCAAGAAAGCCGTTATAGCGAAATGCCGCATAACGAGCGGCCGTATTGCAAGTATGAGCGAATTCTAAATTAAATTATGATATATTGTAATATAAATTAAGCATATATTTACATACTATATGTATAGTTGCATGTTGCTACAAAGTATAATAGTTTTGTTCACCTAACGCTTGTTTGTATCACCTTAATCTAATCGAGATAGATATGAAGTACCATATGTATACATGTATGGCATATAAATGATCAGGATGACATGAAGAGTTAAATTCCGAGTGACTGTGTGTCCGTTTGCCTGTCTGTGCAAGGTGTAACTTGAGTAAAAACTGAGATCTCGTCATGAAACATAGTACACGTGTTCCTTGGTCGAAACGCGAGAACGAGTTCGATTCAAAACTCCATAAATCGAAAATGACATAACTAAGCCGCAAATTAAAATACATATGTATTTAACTGTAATTTGGTACAATGAATCACAATAATGAGGGGCATCTGTGGTTTGAAAATTTTTAAAAAGTGGGCGTGGCCTTGCCATCTAATAGGTTTAATGTATGTACTTATATATTTTCCAAACCATTCAAGCTACATACATATATCACTAAAGTGTGCACAGGACAAATCATTTTAACGCCTCTTGCGACAGCGTGAAATTGGTGAAATCGGTTTACAACCACGTCCACTCCCAATATAACGGTTTTGTTAATACCTAATAGAAAGATTTTCGAACTTCCGGCTGACCTTATACCCCATATATCGGCCAATATGTGAGTTAACTTAATTAAATTGAGTGAGCGTGTTTTTTTTCTAACGGTGCATCTCTGTACCTAAAATAGATAAAATCGGGTGAAAGCTTGCCATAACCCCCATATATAACTTATATCAGGATTTTAAACAACCGGACTTTATTCCTTATATATTGTTGAGGTACTTTAATGAAACTCAAAGAGCATCTGTTTCTGTTAATAATATGTAGTAATGCCGAAACAGATAAAATCGGGTCAATACTACACCTGTCCTTTTTTAATAAGACCTAAAGGTATTTTCCCGGCGTTGATCCTTGCAAGTTACAAGAGTATGAAATGTTATGAACTTAGCCCTAATTTTTAAATATTTCGATATCTATGCTTGGTACATAAGTATGTATATGTATACAGATATATTTATTACTTTACCTTGAGTCCTACAGGAACTATAAACACCATTGACGCTTACGTTGAATTTTGGACGAAAAATCCATGGGTGTTGGGCTCAATTGCGAATAACAACGTTTGGGCAAGCTTTATTTTAGCGAATCGAAACATGAGAAGATTTCGAAGAAGACTGCTTCCAAAAATGTATCCACAAGCTCCACGAATGTAATTAAATATGAATAAATTTACCTCAACATCTTACAGATTTGGCCTTTTTATAGGAATATTTTAAGTGAGTCAGACGTTATTAAGGGCTTTTGTGTTCCAGCACCAACCGTTGATCAAGATATCATCGATCGTAGTCAATTATACTACTGGGAGGAGAAGAACGAGAGACCCATTCAATATAACAGTTATTTGACATTTTCGTAAACCACCCCTTATAATATTTTTTAAACAAATTTTACTTTAAGGGATAATTTGTCCAATGTTTAATTCGACGAAATGATCTGAATTATTCCTTAAAATAAAATCAAAGTTATAATAGTAGTTATAATTTTGCTTTCTCAAAGTATAATTGTGACAAAAACGAAATACCTGAAAGGAAAATAGTCACCACCTAAATTCAAATAAAATTTTAGAATTTGTTTAACAAGATCAGTAGAATACAAAAATGCTCTGATGACTATTTCGTGCTAGCAAATATAAATATATATATCTAAAAAATTTGCTTTCTAAAAATCTCTTCCAGCGAGTTTAAAAGTCTGTGCAAATTTTACCTTTTCTGCAAAATGAAAATTAAGTCTCTGAAATTTTAAAGTTCTCTTTAATATAATATATGAATGGGATTAAAGTACAACTAGTAATTTCAAGTTAGTTTAATGTTTCTTCGTATATTGAAAAAAATTTGTTTGTAAAATTTCTATAGAATTTGTAAAAAAAATAACCTCATTCTATTACTTGCATTACTTTTTTTGTAGTCAATTAGTAAACATTTTCTATTAAATTGCAATTTTTTACAAACCATATTAAGACAGAAAAGGGTCTAATTTTGACAAACATAAGTATTAGGGTGGAGCGAAAAAAGTTTTTTTTGCATAGCCTGAGGGTAAAATCTGTAGATTATAAAAAAAATTTTTTTGGATAAAATGGATGTCGTCAGACAGATTTTGGAAAAAAAATTTTTTTTTTTCGCTCCACCCGAATCAGTATGTTCACATATTATATAGTACTCACGGGAAATTTTTTGTGCTATCGTTACAACCGTGGTTTTGTATACTATCATACTTGATATTTAATGGCTATCGCGATTTTTGTTAAGAAATTTAAAACGTTATTCATACGGTAAATGGAAAATGTAAACGGAGTAAATTAAAATGAACTATTGAGAAAGCAATATATTTGTAAGTGGTTTGATTTAATTATTAACTTTTTTTTATATCTCTTAAATATTTCAGAAATCCCGCAATCGCTTTTTTGCTTTTGTGTTGGTATTTTTTGATTTTAATACTTACTCAATTTGCATATACTCGCCGTTTATTGTTAAATTGTCCACGTATATTCTCATTTGGTCTATTTTCTTCCGATGGCCCTATGGAGGAAAATGTAGATGAGTCGTTTTTCCGAATAACATTCAAAGCAAAAGGTTGGGACAAAAACATGAAGTCTATTCAGCATATATTTCCCGATAGTCCCGATAAAGTTTTAGTGGGCCGGGTAAGTGGCGCATGTCCCTTTTATGGAATAGCATGTGTCTGTCTTCTAGTCTCTGCTGTAACTATATTTAATGAACATTCAAAACTTCCTCATCGGTTCGTTAAGTTCACATTTATTACATAGATACGTATTTAAAAATTACAAGCCTGTTAATCTTTCCTTAGGGGTGGAGTTTATACACCAGGAGCCGTGTTTGCCCATACTAAAATTATAAATGAACTTAAAAAGTACGAGCACGGGTTATTCTTTGAAATAATTAGCATTAATTGAATGTAGTTCAATTTTAACTAATTGTATTTTATAATTGTTAAATGAATTGCAAATATAAATTATTCAAGTACTAATATAAATAAATAAAAGGCAATACAATAAAGAATGTAAATATACAAATTATTCCCATTTATCTTAGTATATTTTAGCATATGTATTCCTTACGTAGCATATTTCTACGTACATTTCACAAACTATTCTTTCTCGTGAACTACTAGAACCGCCGGATGCTGTCATCGTCAACGCTTTGGGCTATTTGTTAGCATAGTCATTGTAAGAATTTTTAGGCTGTCCTGTGTCGATTAGTACCACAATCTTTTGTTCATTCAATTGGCGTTTAGTGGGTTTAAATTTTAAATTCATTCACCCTATAAATACATATGTACATACATGTATGGTTAGCAATTTATAATATAGTCGGTAAATGTGAAGTTTGGCATACATTAGTCAGATGATGCCTAATTTTTGGGAAGAGATGCTTCAATTCAATGGTGCAGAATGTTAAAGAGGCTACGACTGACCAGTTGAAAAGCAATCCTGGCATCGTTATTGTCGAGATAAGGGTAATTATCCTTGAAATGGTGATGCAAACACCAACATTCCTTGATATCATTCAACGACTGGATGAATGTTAAACTTTTCGCTTCTTTCGTTACATCATGAACCTAGCACGCTCAAAAAGACAACTGGATGCAACTCTTACTATCATTCTTTATATCGAACATAACAACATTGTGCTTGGTGGCCGATTAAGTGTCCTGGCTGACGTACTTTGGCCATTGTCGGAATACATACTTCTATTTTAACATGTCGTCAAACAGATATTAGAATTGTGGGCTATGATTCCATTATACATGGATATGTTAATTGAATCATGGCTGTGAACTTATAAGGTTTAAATAAAGTCAGAATGTTCAAAGAAAAATGAGATAAGAGGACGTGGAAATTGCTTTGCTTTAGGTTAGGGGTTAGAGGTAGTAAAATATTCAAAAAATAGAATTGCAAACTAAAATTAAGATGATGGAAACAATTAAAAAATCTTAAAGTATATGTATTTATACATAATATGTATGTTTGTGTATCGAACTCAAGTAGCGTGATAGTAGTCTAGCATGGGGTCTAAAATTCTCAATTAACAACGAAACTTGAAGTTAATGCGTTTTTCTAGATTCATTAATATTGTATTAACAAACAAAGTATTTTTTATATATACTTGTATTTTTTTTATTTGACGATGGTAAATATATGTAGCAAATGCAAGTAGCTTGGTAGTAGCCTGACACGTTGCCTAAAATTCTCAATTAATATTAAATATTTAAATTAATGCATTTTTATATTTAAATTAATATTGTAATTGGTAAAACATAGTTATAGCAACGTAAGCGTGAAATTCAGCGCTGAATCTCGCATCCATTCTGCGGTAACTAAAACCGACCTCAGCTTCTCTTCACTCTGCAGGAACCCTTAGATATTAAAACCCCAGGAGTGAAGACACTTGAGGCGTTGTTACTCTCGACTTTCACTCACCACCTGAGTCTAGCAGACTACGTGACCTCTTACGCTAATGACTGCACGATATTGACGTCGGGCAATGGAATCAATGGCATGTGCTCGAAAGTAAACAGCTATCTCTCCGATGTTTGTTCCTTCTTCTCTGACAGGAGTCTGACACTCCCCCTAAATTCACAGCGACCATTTTTACAAACTGGACGAAGGAGTACAGACATTAGACAGTCTGTGCTCCTTCATTCCTTACACGACCGCGATAACTGCCAAAGTACAGAGCCGCAACAAAATCCCTTGCCGGCAGCCGGCAGATGTAATGCAACGCAGACGAAGAAGCTTCAAACTTGTCAAAACACTGCACTCCGGGCTATCACGGGAGGCCTCTTGATGTCCCCAATAGAACATCTGCATAGTGAGGCCCGTATGCTTCCGATTGGGAAACAAAACGAGATCCTCTCCAAGCAGTTTCTGCTGGGGTGTTTTCGTAGACAACGAACTTTAGACAACCACTGACCGCCATTCACAGTGGAGCCAACACCTTCACCTACTCCCTCTCAGTGAATGGCGTACTAGGAGTCAAACCACCACCCATAGCAGACGTGACCCTCGCGCAACTTCGTTCTGGATATTATAGCAGGTTAAACTCCTACTTATCCAGAATAGACCCCGACATTCCAAATATATGTCCTGCGTGTAATGAGTCTCCGCATGACACTAACCACCTCTTTGCATATCCAACGAACCCAACTCTTCTAACAACCCTTTCCCTATGGTCCGACCCCATCAAAACTGGGCCTCCCGTTAGATGACCTCGACGACAACCAAACTCTAACTTATCACCCAAGTGGGGACTAGGTAACCGTTGCAAAAACAACAACTAAAACCCCAATTTTAGACTCTCCAAAAGTATACTTTTTATTGACTGATATTATCGACACAAAACTATTATTACGCCGTCTATTAGTCATAATAGTTAACATTTGTTTATATATGAAGAATAACGTCTGCTGACAATGCTACGGATACTCGTTCATTAACATTCTCTGGTATAACAATTGCGTTTTGCAGTTTCAACTGATGTTTCGCTTACTTTTGACTTGGCAACATTATTGAGAGCTCTGTCCAAGAAGTTGGCAACGCGATGATTTTGATTGTCAAAATATTCTTGTTTTCATTTGCATAGCAAAATATTAAAGGCGTAGAATTTCACAATCTATATCGCATAAACAGATTTTATTTTTATTAAGATATCCAAGTAATGTCTTTAACACGCGCATCTAAATTGCTCCAAGCTAGGTTGACACGCATTCAAAGTGTCCCTGCAGTTTTTTATCATGAAAACGTAAGTATCTATTATATTAAGATCTTTCATAACAATGAAATATGTGTTGCAATTATATTTTAGGTTATTATATTGTATGTTATATTTAAAATTTCATTGCGATTACAATATTAAAAAGATATATATATATATTTCAGGTAGTGGAACATTATGAGAACCCAAGAAATGTAGGTTCACTTGACAAGAAAGATCAAAGGGTAGGAACGGGTTTAGTTGGTGCGCCAGCATGCGGCGATGTCATGAAGCTTCAAATCAAAGTTGATGAAAATGGTAAAATAATCGACGCAAAATTTAAAACCTTTGGTTGTGGTTCAGCAATTGCTAGTAGTTCTTTAGCAACAGAGTGGGTAAAAGGCAAAACTATTGATGAAGCCGGAAAATTAAAGAATACCGACATAGCTAAAGAGTTATGTCTTCCCCCAGTAAAACTGCATTGTTCCATGCTTGCTGAGGACGCAATAAGGGCAGCACTTGCTGATTATAAAATAAAACAACAAAAGAAGGATTAAACATTTAATCAAAATATTGTTAATGAATTAGTTGTAGTTTACGGGTGTTAAATGGAAGATCATAAATAATGTGAGCTCTGAGTTTATCAGGTGAGTAACATTAAAATAAATAATTAAAAGTTTAAATATTACCATGTGTATTCTTCCTCTTTTACTCGGGTTTATTCTACTCGAGTAAAGCCTATAAGCATAAACGGCAAGTATTCTACTCGAGGTGAATTCTGAATAGACTTAATCTGAGGGCAGCCACGCGAGACTTAATTTCGAAATGTTTTTAATATTAACAAACAGTAGCTGCATATTTTAGTACACTTATTATACTCTTGCAACATGTTGCTACAAAGTATACTAGTTTTGTTCACCTTACGGTTGTTTGTATTGTCCAAAACTTATCGAGTTAGATATAGGGTTATATACATATATATAAATGATCAGGATGACCATTCGCTCGACAGTGGGGTCTAAGTAAGCGAAACGGACCCGGAATTTCATCCGGCTAAGGACTGTTAACTCGGCACCATTCCTCAGAGTTACTTTGGAAATGTTTTCTACATGATCAGAATGATAAGACGAGTTGAAATCCGGGTGACAGTCTGTCTGTCTGTGCAAGCTGTAACTTGAGTAAAAATTGAGATATCTGGATGAATCTTGATACACATGTTTCTGGGCGCCGTAAGACTGTTTGTATTGCCATTAATCGAAAACCAATATGTTAAATTGCGGACCCCAATACATATTGTTGACTTTTTACCGAAAATGTCTGTCAATATATGAGATATATATCGTTTCCTGATAATATTATGTCTGTACGTCAAAAATGGGTATAATCGGGTCAATACTTCCCTTAGCCCCCATATACCTAATAAAAAAATTTTTGAACTTCGGGGTGACTTTAAACAGCATATATCAGCGAATACGTGACTTATCTCAATAAAAATTAGAAAGCGTGTTTTTTTAATAACAGTCTTTGTGCCTAAAATGGATGAAATTGGGTGAAAACTTTACCCATAAATATTAACTTAACTATCCGAGTATACCATTTAACTCGTGGTGAAAAAGTGTAAGTGGGTTGAACTTACCCGTGTAGAATATAATCGAGTAGAAATGAGACATAAACATGGTATATGTCAATATATTTATTGTTTTATAAATGTTTACATTTGATATGCGCGGCCGAAGGAGTTCGACTTGGTAGAACTATCGACACCCCGGTGTTGGGCCGGATTCAATGTGTACAGTGTAATTAAATATATATTAAGTGAAAAATGTGCACAAAGTTTTAAACATATTGAAATAGCATACAATAGTTTCACAATTTCTGGGCTTTATATAGAAATATTTCGTGAAGTATAAGTCTAAGGCGAGTATATGCGTATTTTTTAATCTGGAAACCCTCCTTTATCGTCCATACCATCAGATCGCGGCGCCGAATAAATCAAATTCGTGCCTGATAACGATTGACTTTTTTCTAAAATTGTATTCAGATAATTAAAAAACGGTCTTTGTTTTGCTTATCCAATTTTTATTAAAATTATAAAAAAAATTATTGATGATTGGTTGATACGCTCTTGTTATTGCCTTCTTTATGTTACAATATTTCTTTTTTTTCAGAACTGGATCTTCCGACTTTGTTATGCTTTAAATACTTATAAAAATGCGGAAAATTTTATTCTCATGAAATGTATGAATCACTGGAAGTCAGCTTTAATTTGGGAACTTTAATAAACTAAAATCGTATGCAAGTTGAAATAGAATTATGTCGATGTTAGAAATATGTGATGGAATGTGAAACTATATTTAAACACTAAGATTATTACGCAACACACGTATCAAAATAAATTTATTTCTTCAATTTAATTGCACATTTCAATAAAACAATATAAGAAGACATGATTTAGGAGAGGCGCACGCTAACATTACCGCCACATTCGCCTTTGCTGTTTATGTTATATTCTGCAAATTAAAAGAAATATTGAAATAAAAATATGTGCGTAAGTAATTACTAAATAAGTTTCATTCATTTGTCACTTACGTCCATTTGGATGTTCGCAATTAAAACGCAACAATACGCATTCATTTCCAAATGTAAGCAACTTGCTGCCATTTTTCTCTTTGGCGCAAAGCAACAACAACTAAAACCCCAATTTTAGACTCTCCAAAAGTATACTTTTTATTGACTGATATTATCGACACAAAACTATTATTACGCCGTCTATTAGTCATAATAGTTAACATTTGTTTATATATGAAGAATAACGTCTGCTGACAATGCTACGGATACTCGTTCATTAACATTCTCTGGTATAACAATTGCGTTTTGCAGTTTCAACTGATGTTTCGCTTACTTTTGACTTGGCAACATTATTGAGAGCTCTGTCCAAGAAGTTGGCAACGCGATGATTTTGATTGTCAAAATATTCTTGTTTTCATTTGCATAGCAAAATATTAAAGGCGTAGAATTTCACAATCTATATCGCATAAACAGATTTTATTTTTATTAAGATATCCAAGTAATGTCTTTAACACGCGCATCTAAATTGCTCCAAGCTAGGTTGACACGCATTCAAAGTGTCCCTGCAGTTTTTTATCATGAAAACGTAAGTATCTATTATATTAAGATCTTTCATAACAATGAAATATGTGTTGCAATTATATTTTAGGTTATTATATTGTATGTTATATTTAAAATTTCATTGCGATTACAATATTAAAAAGATATATATATATATTTCAGGTAGTGGAACATTATGAGAACCCAAGAAATGTAGGTTCACTTGACAAGAAAGATCAAAGGGTAGGAACGGGTTTAGTTGGTGCGCCAGCATGCGGCGATGTCATGAAGCTTCAAATCAAAGTTGATGAAAATGGTAAAATAATCGACGCAAAATTTAAAACCTTTGGTTGTGGTTCAGCAATTGCTAGTAGTTCTTTAGCAACAGAGTGGGTAAAAGGCAAAACTATTGATGAAGCCGGAAAATTAAAGAATACCGACATAGCTAAAGAGTTATGTCTTCCCCCAGTAAAACTGCATTGTTCCATGCTTGCTGAGGACGCAATAAGGGCAGCACTTGCTGATTATAAAATAAAACAACAAAAGAAGGATTAAACATTTAATCAAAATATTGTTAATGAATTAGTTGTAGTTTACGGGTGTTAAATGGAAGATCATAAATAATGTGAGCTCTGAGTTTATCAGGTGAGTAACATTAAAATAAATAATTAAAAGTTTAAATATTACCATGTGTATTCTTCCTCTTTTACTCGGGTTTATTCTACTCGAGTAAAGCCTATAAGCATAAACGGCAAGTATTCTACTCGAGGTGAATTCTGAATAGACTTAATCTGAGGGCAGCCACGCGAGACTTAATTTCGAAATGTTTTTAATATTAACAAACAGTAGCTGCATATTTTAGTACACTTATTATACTCTTGCAACATGTTGCTACAAAGTATACTAGTTTTGTTCACCTTACGGTTGTTTGTATTGTCCAAAACTTATCGAGTTAGATATAGGGTTATATACATATATATAAATGATCAGGATGACCATTCGCTCGACAGTGGGGTCTAAGTAAGCGAAACGGACCCGGAATTTCATCCGGCTAAGGACTGTTAACTCGGCACCATTCCTCAGAGTTACTTTGGAAATGTTTTCTACATGATCAGAATGATAAGACGAGTTGAAATCCGGGTGACAGTCTGTCTGTCTGTGCAAGCTGTAACTTGAGTAAAAATTGAGATATCTGGATGAATCTTGATACACATGTTTCTGGGCGCCGTAAGACTGTTTGTATTGCCATTAATCGAAAACCAATATGTTAAATTGCGGACCCCAATACATATTGTTGACTTTTTACCGAAAATGTCTGTCAATATATGAGATATATATCGTTTCCTGATAATATTATGTCTGTACGTCAAAAATGGGTATAATCGGGTCAATACTTCCCTTAGCCCCCATATACCTAATAAAAAAATTTTTGAACTTCGGGGTGACTTTAAACAGCATATATCAGCGAATACGTGACTTATCTCAATAAAAATTAGAAAGCGTGTTTTTTTAATAACAGTCTTTGTGCCTAAAATGGATGAAATTGGGTGAAAACTTTACCCATAAATATTAACTTAACTATCCGAGTATACCATTTAACTCGTGGTGAAAAAGTGTAAGTGGGTTGAACTTACCCGTGTAGAATATAATCGAGTAGAAATGAGACATAAACATGGTATATGTCAATATATTTATTGTTTTATAAATGTTTACATTTGATATGCGCGGCCGAAGGAGTTCGACTTGGTAGAACTATCGACACCCCGGTGTTGGGCCGGATTCAATGTGTACAGTGTAATTAAATATATATTAAGTGAAAAATGTGCACAAAGTTTTAAACATATTGAAATAGCATACAATAGTTTCACAATTTCTGGGCTTTATATAGAAATATTTCGTGAAGTATAAGTCTAAGGCGAGTATATGCGTATTTTTTAATCTGGAAACCCTCCTTTATCGTCCATACCATCAGATCGCGGCGCCGAATAAATCAAATTCGTGCCTGATAACGATTGACTTTTTTCTAAAATTGTATTCAGATAATTAAAAAACGGTCTTTGTTTTGCTTATCCAATTTTTATTAAAATTATAAAAAAAATTATTGATGATTGGTTGATACGCTCTTGTTATTGCCTTCTTTATGTTACAATATTTCTTTTTTTTCAGAACTGGATCTTCCGACTTTGTTATGCTTTAAATACTTATAAAAATGCGGAAAATTTTATTCTCATGAAATGTATGAATCACTGGAAGTCAGCTTTAATTTGGGAACTTTAATAAACTAAAATCGTATGCAAGTTGAAATAGAATTATGTCGATGTTAGAAATATGTGATGGAATGTGAAACTATATTTAAACACTAAGATTATTACGCAACACACGTATCAAAATAAATTTATTTCTTCAATTTAATTGCACATTTCAATAAAACAATATAAGAAGACATGATTTAGGAGAGGCGCACGCTAACATTACCGCCACATTCGCCTTTGCTGTTTATGTTATATTCTGCAAATTAAAAGAAATATTGAAATAAAAATATGTGCGTAAGTAATTACTAAATAAGTTTCATTCATTTGTCACTTACGTCCATTTGGATGTTCGCAATTAAAACGCAACAATACGCATTCATTTCCAAATGTAAGCAACTTGCTGCCATTTTTCTCTTTGGCGCAAAGTGGTGTATAACTTTCGTCGCAATCACGTGCACATGCTGGGGCCTGCTTTTTGCCGGAAGGAGATGCAAAAGTAATAGTCACAAGGCACAGTGCTAAAAGAAAAAAAAATATATATATATTTATATAAATATTAACCTTCTTCACACTTTACGTGCCCCATCCGAACCAAATATAATAAATCATCCCATATTTAGGTGAAATCACATATCTCCGGACTTATTCCACCAATTTCAACCAAATTCAGTAGGTTGTTGTTGTTGTTATAACGATTATCTAGTCCCCGTTTGGGTGATAAATTCTAGATTCGTTGTCGTCGAGGTCATCTAACGGAAGGCCCAGGAAACGAGCTGTTTCGACGGGGTCGGACCATAGGGAGAGGGGTGTTAGATGAGTGGGGTTTGTTGGGCATGCAAAGAGGTGGTTAGTGTCATGCGGAGACTCATTGCATGCAGGACATGTGTTTGGTATGTCAGGGTCTATTCTGGATAGGTAGGAGTTTAACCTGCTACAGTATCCAGAACGAAGTTGCGCGAGGGTCACTCTAGATTCGCGAGGCAACTCAAGCTCTGTGTCTGCAATGGGTGGTGGTTTGACTCGTATTACGCCATTCACTGAAAGGGAGTCGGTGAAGGTGTTAATGGCTCCACTGTGAATGGCGGTCAGTGCTTGTCTGAAGTTAGTTGCGTCCGAAGTCTGGTCGGCGTGCTGTCTGATGTCGTCGACGTAGTCAAGGAAGGACCTCTTGATGTTCCTAGGAGGCTGCTCCGCTGCAAGCAGGCGTCTGCAGGGGTGGTTTCTGCGAAAACATCCCAGCAGAAACTGCTTGGAGAGGAGCTCGTTATGTTCCTTAACCGGAAGCATACGGGCCTCGCTATGTAGGTGTTCGATTGGGGACATCAAGAGGCACCCCGTGATAGTCCGGAGTGCAGTGTTCTGACAAGTCTGAAGCTTCTTATTCTGCGTGTCACTGCATCCAGGCGACCATATTGCGGCTGCATAATTGAGGACCGGCCGGCCGATTGCCTTGTATGTTGCCAACAACGTTTCTTTGTCTTTTCCCCATGAGCTGCCGGCAAGCGACTTGAGGATTTTGTTGCGGCTCTGTACTTTGGCAGTTATCGCGGTCGTATGAGGAGTGAAAGAGCACAGACTGTCCAAAGTGACGCCTAAAATTTTAGGGTTATTTACTGTCGGAATTTTTGTGCCATCGACTGAAATGTTCAGGTCCAGTCTGTACTCCTTCGTCCAATTGGTGAAGATGGTCGCTGTGGATTTAGTGGGGGAGAGTGTTAAGTTCCTTGCAGAAAAGAAGCGAGAAAGATCGGAGAGGTAGCCGTTTACTTTTGAACACATGCCATCGATTCCATTCAGTAGGTGATATTATACTGACATTTATTATTAATATTATACAGTGCGAAAATGGGTGAAATCCGACTACAACCACACCTATTTGTCATATAACACAACTTAAAATTCCATCTGATAATAGTGTCTTTAAGGTATGTCATCTCAAGTCTAAAAATTGTCAAAATCGGACCATAACTGTTGAAGCCCGCAGATACCGAAGATGTGGACCCCAGTGCCTATGGCTGACTTTTTATCAGTCCATGTGTAGGGTATATAATTGAAATTCGGATTATTTCCTGATATGTCAAAAATGGTTTGAATTGGGTCAATAGTGTCCTTAATTTTCATATATCTAATAGGAAGAATTTTCGAACTTCCGGTTTACTTTGTACCGCATATATCGGCCAAAATGTGTGTTTTCTT